AACAACACTGCTTGGTATACGCTCTGCCTTTCGGAGAGACTGGATTTCAGAAGAAATCTGTGGAGTCTTGCTCCTGAAACTGATAGTTTTTGTAGGACAACCTTTTTTTTTTGGTGGTGGGGAGATTCTCTCTTCCCTTCACTACTTACAAAATCATGTGGGAGAGGCTTTCTTTCTGTGTTTCTAGCCAGGGCCTGGTGTGGAAGAAAGGGGAAGCGGCCTAGAATGATATAGCAGCGTGAAGGAGGCAGGCCATGCAGCATACAGCTTTATCTGGGATAAGTAGGATAGGAAATAGCCCCACAAGAGCTACTGATGGGACCCAGAGAGCAGCATGGTGAAACAGACTTTTCTCAGGCCTGGTCTATACTAAGAAGATGGGCTGAGCCAGCTGCATTGCTGAGGGATGCGAAAAATCCACACACACCCTCCCCCCCGTGACGTAGCTATGCCAACCTAGCTCCCAGTGTAGACAGTGCAAGGTTGACGGAATTCCTCCATCGACCTAGCTACCACCTCTCAGAGAGGTGGATTACCTACACCTCTGGGAGAAGCCCTCCTGTCAGCATAGATAGTGTCTGCCCTGTGGCATTTAGGGGTAGACAAGCTCCTAGAGGGTATTTGTAAACACTTAGGTCTTGTCTTAACAAGGGGGAAAAAAAGTGTGTTCTTAATTCATGTTAAGTCACGCAGGACAACTAATTTGAGGCAAAATCCTAGCGAAGACAGAGCAGTTTGTAGTTTTATCCCATGTTCACAGGTTGCGGTAAAGGCAGATGTGTCTATGCGGCTGTGGCAACACCGTAATGTTTTTAGTGCACTAGTTCACGCAGAGCTAGCACATGTGCGTCGTCTATCCCAGCTGGGAATTACTTGTGTCGGCTACTGTGTAGACATAGCTAAAGACTATGAGGGAGCCTAGGATTAAACTCTTCCTTCTAACACATGTTAACTACAAACTGCCTTGTCTTCACTAGAATTTTGCGTGGAGTTAGTTACCATGTGTTAACTAACCTGCGTTAAGAACACACCTTCCTTCCTCTTGGAGATGCACCCTTGGAGGTCTGTTGCAAGGGGGTTGAGCTGTGCCATTTCCACTGACTTTACTGGGCACTTGGTGGCTAAGCCCCTTTGCATCACTGTGGAAACACAGGGTTCAGCTTTGTAGCATATTGCAGGGGAAGTTGGGGCTGCTTGTCTGTACTTTGTTTCTTTAGACAGAAAATCTTTAGCCTCCTGGGCTGTGAGTCACCCTTCCCCAGTACTAAATGCACTAAAAATAACAACGTTAACCAAGTCTGATGTGTTTACAACCTAATTGCATGTTGTTTTCCTATATTTTCAGGGTCTGGAGGCACACATGAAGAGCAAAGACTTCTATTCGCCCTTTATACTTGATGAAAGCAAAATAGAAATGCTAGAAGATGCTTGAATGAAGAAAAAATAAAAATCTGGCCATCAGCTCTATGCTGGGAACAGACTCTGCTAAACCATTGGCTTTGTTATTAATGATAGAGATAATTGATTGGGTAGCAATTAAGCTGACAAATATATAGAGACATACTCTAATTCTGTTTGCTAACTTTAAAGGCAGCATCTTTACCTCAGCATACGTGTAGGTTCAGGTATGAATGAAGTTATATTTGTGCTCTCAGTTACAAACAGATTTTATTTGTGCATTTGAGCCTTTTCCTTTATTTTAGAAGAGCCATTGGGACCAAATCCATCTGCTTTGCAGTTTAACGGGTCTAATTCTCCTCTCACTACTTCTTATTCCCACTGACATTATTGGGAGTTGTGTGTGAATATGAAGATTAATCTGACACCCAGTTCTGTAAAGGGTTGATCACGCTCAAGTCCCATTCCACCTTGTAGGATTGGGCCCTTTCTCCTGAATATCTAGTGGTTGTTGTTGTTTTTTACCTAATCCTGCAAAGATCCCAATTCTGCAATCGTTACTGATGAACAGTGCTCACTCAAGGAGCCCAAATGCACAGAATTGGGGCTTACTTCATTGGGGCTCTTGGTGTGAAGAAGTGTTCCTTAACAAAAGGGTTGCAGAATTGGGAATAAAAGGCTTGCATGTCCAGGAGTCACCTCACCAACAAAATATGAAGGAGATATGCAGGTTAGAGGGATTCTACCTGGCACGCTGCTACATTTTAAGGTGTGATCTAGTCTTTAAAAATCAGTATAAAAATGTTTTTACAACATCCTTCCACTTCTTTTGTCCTGAGGTGAACTTTTTTCCATTTTGCTTTATAGCATATCTCTAATGTTTGGACTTTATCTAAGTGCCTTAAAACAATAATTGGAACAAATCCAGGTGGTAGAGAAAACTATTAAATCCAAAGAGCAAGAACTATTTACTCCCAGCATAAACTATGTAAGCAATAAAACAGCAATAATATGCCTTCACAACCGAGTGGAAGGGTACATGTCCAGTACTCCTGCCTCCCTTGAAGTGTTGTATTCCTCTGATTGTCACAACTTCCTTCTTAAAGTTATCTTTAAATAATATTTAGCGAAAAGTGCAAGATTGAGAACCTGGGTTAACAGAGCATGGGTAGCAAACTGCACCTCAAGCTTGACCTAGAAGAACCACCTGTAAGGATGAGGTGGAAGTGCCTTCTCCTTGGATGCTGCACTCTTTGACACTGTTGTGCTTTGTGATGTGGAATACTAATCCACTGAAATCTGCACTGAGATCACCAAAGTCATTTCATAGTTATAAAAATATACTGAGAGTCTATTGACCAAATACTGCATTTGCAGATGCAGTTCTACAGGTATCTTCACGGTCAGAAACTTGTCACCTAAAGTCCTTTCTCCCCGCCCCCAATAACAGCCATTTTATAAAGCT